CATCTGATTTAATGGCAGTCTTGCAAACCTACTCACCCAAGAAATGATTAGAAGATGAATGTCTAAGTTAGTCTAGACCTTGTGGTGCATATGTTATTTCTGCACGGGTTTGGTGGCTCTGATTTCGACTGTGCTAGAGACCTACTTGATGTAGACCAAACTTACTATTTGTGCCCGATCCAGCTGAGCCCTCTTCTGAGACATCCTTGAGTAAGGCGAATGAGATGGACAATCTCATTCTCGAAATTTGAGATGGATTATCATTCGGACGCCACAAAAGCTAAATGAAGTTTGACATCGCTCTGAATTCCTTTTAATAAGGACTATTCAGTTTGGCCAAGCTAACAAGTAAAACATAATTTCTACGGCGTTGCTACTGTTGTGCGATATTCCGCCGTTTATCTGCTATGTCCTTTGGGACGGAGGCCTTGCAAATTTATAGAATAAAATGTTATAAACAATGATTAGGGCCAGAAACTCTTTCACATTCAATGCATTATTTCGTTACGCAGCAATCCCTTTACCAATAACCCACATCGAGACGACTACTTTGCTATTTAGGCTGCGTGAGAGAAACAATTCATGAATATGAGGTCTTTCTGAACTTAATTGCGAGTAATTGTAAGCGTAAGGCGTATCTACGCCTTAAGCAGATCATCAAAAAGCAGAGTTTGGTGCACAATCACGAGGCCTAAGCGTTGCATCATCGAGTTAACTTTGAATAGGAAAGGATCTTCCCAGCACATTTGAGGTCAGCCCTGGACGACATCCCAAACGGCCCACATAAAAAAGCACAGAAGCCTATTAGCAAAGGTCCAGTGCGACAAGAATTCCAAATTAGCCGTAGGTCAAGGGAAGCGAGAAGAGTGGTTGTGACGACCAAAGCCTTTTGAGAAGGCCCTACAGATCAGAATCTCACTGGACTTTACCAGATCTCCTAAATGCGATCCGAATCATTTTTGCGGACATCCCCTTGATACGTAGATTTGTTGCAGCTTACCAGATCTCAGTCGATCAATCAACAATGTACGATTCACCCTCGACAAGTGGGCGCACTTGTTCCGAAGTCCTTCGTCTACTGCATTGGCACCCGAGCACAAGTTTGATTCAAGCAACGCGTAGATGCCCGGTACCAAAGGTAGCTGATGTGCTGCAAGTGCGATAGCCAAACACAAGGACACAGGTTTAGGGAAATGGGTTGGAGGCGAACGCGACGCATTACGGCTAAGTCGTTTGCCGTGGTCTGACTAAATTCAGGTAAACAAACCTTTGCGTTGGGAGTTCCGAGTTTAGGATGTGCATTTAGCGCGTGGCTAAGATGATGAGTTAGCTAGCTAGAATAATTTCCTAATCGGTTGTAGTGCTCAAGCTTTCAAGCCTGATATTCCACAAGAACGGTGCTTTCACCTTTTCGTGATGGTAGAAAAAGATATTCATTACACTACTCGCGTGATTCAATGTTTTTTCCTCTTGGTAAATAGACCCCAGTAATTTGCACCCTTCAAGGAAAGAAACAGTGAGAATATTGAGTGTTAGGAAGTAAAATGGTTTTTAGTTGGGTCGCAATAAAATACAGATGTGCTAAAATTGCTTGGAAATGTTAATTTATATTTCGTTCATAATTTATGTGGATCTGTGCGTGAAAACTACAAGTGAATGGTGAAAAAATAGATGGGAGGGGAACTTGCGGCTCGTTTCCTGGCGCTTAGATACACAACCTCAGGCACTTTGAAGGGGAAACTTGCATCTCCCAGGGGTATTTTGCGTTCCCAGCCAATACGAACAAAGTCTGAATCACATCAGCATGGCAACTGGTAAGTATAGGCAAATGGCTAAAAATAACGCCGATGTGAGGTGCACTATCATTCATTTATTCACACTTCTAAAGGTGACAATTGGTGGCCTCTTCTACGTGACCGCTCGAAGGGCTGCGAAGTGAAGAGTCAGCTCAATCATGAAAGTGATCGAGTCTAGTGAAGCAAGGAGACACAGAAAAGCTTAAAAGAATATTTCAATCTGATCCGATGTTACCGGGATTACTGTAAGTTGAATTTCGTGGAACTATTTAGGAGACGCTGGAGAAGGATTAGGCAATATGAAAAAGATAACCAGAGAAGGGATGCGTGAAGAACGGGATTTTTCAATTTTCAGAGACGTCCGACAACTGTGAGAAATTCTCAGGATCCGTAGTCTCCAATTGATATTCCCATTCAGATTATGTACAAATGGTGGACGCTTGAGACAGATACTCGTGAATAACATTCAATGAAACGACATTATTGGAGTGCTCAAAAAGGTGTCGCATTATGTACATATGCATCGTGTATAAGTGGTCATGAGTGTATACAAACGAAAAAGTTTTCGTCTAAGACTTTATGTGTGTGCATGTCTAACAGTGTGTTTGCGCGTAAATTAGAGCAAATGACACAGAAGTGATTCATATAATTTTATACCTCAGTCCCGAGTAGTTTTAATAAGCTCACATTTTAAGGCCGACTTTTTAAAGATGTTAAATTGGACGGCTGAGATGAGCGTAGGTTAAGACACTAATAATGTGTTCTACAAAGAGAGCTTAAAGAGCAGAGGCAAATGGAAAGTAATAAGTTAGAGCGGTGTGTGCAAGGAGGCAGCCGAAAAGACGGCCGCGAAGCTCACTATCCTTTTTGAGCATAAACTACAAAATCCTTATGAAGCAAGTATATGTTCTCCCCTTAACAATTATTGCATTCTAGCATTGGGCCTATCCAAAATCGTCGGAGAATACCCAAACGTTCTAAAACAACAATAAAATGTAAGAACATTAATTTTGTGAATTGCCTGCTTGGTAATATATTTAAATATTTCAAATAGGAAGGCTGCTTCTAAATTGTTCACTGTATTGCATCTGCAAGAACTCTACAAAAAAGGCGCATTTGATTGTTCGTCCGACTGGACTAAAGGTCTCGGAATTGTTCTGGAAGCAGGAGTAAGGCGAGAATAGATGGGAAAAGAGAAAAAAGGGTGTGAAGCAAGTATAGAACAAACGATGGGGCTCATTCTATTTGATCAAGAAGGAGAGACCGAACATGACCAGAGCGGCAATGCCACCAGCCGCCGGCAATGTGACGAGCCAGGCGACGAGGATATTGCGAAATATGGACCAGTTGACATTATCTCGAGAGCGAGCGCGGCCCACAAACACTACAGAGCCAACTTTGCAGTGAGTTGTCGAGATAGGAAGTCCAATGTTGCTGGCAACTAGTACGGTGAGCGCAGCGCCCAGCTCGATGCAGACGCCACTAAGGCAAGAATAGACAAGAATAGAGGAATATGTCAACACTGCACAAGAAAATAACAGGTTAATTGCCAATGAGGCTGTTGAATGATCAGAGACATCCAGTTCTATGCGGAGAAGCTGTCTACGAACCTATACAGCTTATTTAGGACAAATGGAAAGAAATAAGATAAGGCGGTTTTTAGGTACACCCAGCTGTGCCTATTCCATCCAGGCTTCAATTGAGGCCATTTCTGATTCTTGTTTTTATTCACAAAAATTAGATTTAATTATCTATCATTGTTACAGCAAACATATGGAAATCGTTTGTTGAAGTTGATTTACTTCACTGTCTGAACAAAGATAAACAAAATGCTACATTTTCCGATGATATCGATATACTCATATCGTACATAAGTAACGCCGCTAACTGTAGTGACGAATAGAATCTGTAGACAACACGCTCACAGTAGATGCATAGAGTAATTGGGTGTCAATCAATCTCCTATTATAACATTGCGCTGCTATTCGAGTTTCTTCGGTATGCATTTTCATACAAAATGCAAGTCGCCTCAACAACAATCCTACCACAAATGTGAATTGAGAGAGGTCTGGCTTGGCGTGCCTTGAAAGCACCACTCGACCAGTAATCCACTGGCTCCCAATCATGGCTGCCTCGGAGTGGTACACAATTTAATTTCAAATTCTGCCTGGAGTTTTAAAAAGGCAGTCCAATCCAGGGGAGAAGCCTTTTGAAAGACTAGAATGAATGAAATTCCAAAAAGTAGTGAGAACTCACTTCATTGTGGGAAATTGCAACTGAACCCTAAATCATCATGCGAGAACCAAGATGATTTCAGTTTTTATTGAGACAACGTAAATCCAGACTTTTATCGTAAATGAGCAGGTTTGCTATACTAACGGTAAATCAGATATATAAGTTGTGTTTATCCAGTTTTGATTAAGATGATGAAGGACTGGTAGTTGAATTCTCCCACAAGGATATGAGTAGAGCCGATGTTTTCCACTGCCTTGCTTACCCAAAAGGTGTTCTCATCCAAGCAGAAGTGGACTGCAGTTTCGACCTCACATAGGTCTTATCAACACTCAAAGGGGGAGTGAGCTCAAGCGCAATCGAATACTTTATGGTACACTCCAGACCAAAAAGTCCGTACCTGTCTCATCCGGAAATTATGAAGCTGTATAGTGGAAAGGGAAATCAGGTTTTTTGCCTCCCCAAGAAAATTCCCAGCCCTCAAAACCACTATTTCTAATCGCTGAATCATTAATACCACACTGCAATTTTTTAGTTAAAGTAAGTATCTGGATACTTCATGCTCTAAATCCTATATCTGATTTACTGGTAGTCTGAGAAACCTACTCACTGGAACATTCATGCTGACGCTGTTGCCGAGGCAATCTCCTTCGATTCCGCTGAAAAGGTGCTAAGCTTTCGTTCGTCATGAGACGGACATCATCAGAGCGAGGTAACATCGTCACAACAAAATTGAAGCTAACGAGTCAAGAAAACTCACCAGAAAATCCCTAAAAAGTGGTACCCATACTCTACATCTGGCCTCTTTGATCAAGTATAAAGTGATTTGGTTAGCTAAGGTCATATGTCAACTTCGATGTCTGTGAGCGTGTCTGTCTCTGTATGTGTCCACCAATGCATGAAGCCAGAAGTGATGGCTCAAAGTAATTAGGACAGCAAAAAGGAGCATCTGTTTTTGGCCATCAAGGTTTGATGGCCCTTATCTTCTCCTTTCTGCATACATGTCATAACTATCACTCCGATTGCGCAAGGTCGAACACTCGTCTGGTTTTGTTGATGAGCCTTTTTTTTGTTTTTAGTGTCAATGCGAGAGATAAAGAGTGAGCTAAAAGTACAGAGAAATGACTATGATCAGAACCGG